TAGTTGCTGCATGACATTATTGGGTCATGCTCAGTTTGCTTGCCACAAGGACTCAAAAATCTTTTTCCATTGGACTGCTATCAAGACAGGCATGACCCCCCCCCCCCCATTCTGTATCTTTGCATTTCATATAGTAACTCAGTAACATATAGTAACTCAGACCATTATAAAGGCAATAGAAATGCACCTTTCCAGCTATTTCTGTATGGAAGTCAGCAGGATTGGGGTCATTTGAAACATTATGCTAGAGGCGTTTTGGGGCTTCAATGGACCACTAGAAACAAATTAAAGGACCTTAGGGCAAATCAAGCCTGGAGGAAACCCAAATGACGGACCTGAGACTTTTAAGTTCAAGTTAGGCGGTGCTGTGTTTAGCTTTGAACACATTTTTAAAGTATTTCAATTGCTCATTTTCAATCAATACCATTGATGTATTGTCGAAGGCTTTCATGGCATCACAACCTCTCAGGATGCTTGCCATAGATGCAGGCAAAACGTCATGCTTCTAGAACAGCATTTCTCAACCTAGGGGTCGGGACCCCTGGGGGGGTCATGAGGGGTGTCTGAGAGGTCTCCAAAGACCACCAGAAAACATAGTATTTTCTGTTGGTCATGGGGGTTCTGTGTGGGAAGTTGGGCCCAATTCTATTGTTGTTGGGGTTCAGAACGTTCTTTGATTATAGGTGAACTATAAATCCCAGCAACGACAACTCCCAAATGTCAACGTCCGTTTTTCCCAAATTGCACCAGTGTTCACAATAGGGCATATTGAGTATCTGTGCCATTGTTTGAGTCCACAGTACTCTGTGTGTGTAGGTGAACTACAGCTCCAAAACTCAAGGTCAATGCCCACCAAACTCTTCCTGTATTTTCTGTTGGTCATGGGAGTTCTGTGTGCCAATTTGGTTCAATTTGGTTTGATTCCATCGTTGGTCGAGTTCAGAATGCTCTTTGATTGCAGATAAACTATAAATCCCGACAACTACAACACCCAAATTACAGAATCAATCCCCCACAACCCCACCAGTATTCAAATTTGGGCGTATCAGGTATTTGTGCCAAATTTGGTCCAGTGAATGAAAATACATCCTGTATATCAGATATTTACATTACAATTCATAACAGTAGCAAAATTAGTTATGATGCAGCAATGAAAATAATATTATGGTTGGGGGTCACCAGAACACGAGGAACTGCATTAAGGGGTCGCAGCATTAGGAAGGTTGAGAAACACTGTTCTAGAATATGGCCATATTGGCCGAAAAACCTACAACAACCCAATACAATTGACGTTTTATACTATTTTAATGTTTGTATATATTTTTGGGATTTTAAATTGGACCGAAATGCTTTTGATGTAAGCTGCCTGGAGTCTCTTTTGTGGAGAGAAAAACGCAGGGTATAAATAATAAGCATGATATATAAAAAAACCTCCAAAACGAGATTTCTTTCCGAGATAAAGCGACTTTCCCTGAACTGGTTTTCCCTTGAGAGAAAATCCCTGGAAGCCTTGCCCTTGTTTAACTCTCCTAATGAAAGAAGAGGATAGTTCCAATTCTAAGAAACCTTTGCAGGTTTGTTATGAAAATGGAAGGAGGGAACCATCACATGGCCAACGTGTTCTTTGGGCTCCAAGCCCCAAATGGAGCAGAACTGGAGCAGAACCGTCTTCATGGTTCTCCCGTTTCCTTGAATCCAACTCATAACATTAATAACATGGGGATTTCCTTGACCTTGTTCTCGATGGTCACTTTCAAAGCATGTAAAAGGTTGGATGGCAAAGGGCCACTTTGGCATCTTCTGCCAACTGCTTTCAGCTACATACCCCAGTATGTATATATATTGTTGTTGTTTAGTTGTTCAGTTGTTTCTGACTGTTTGAGACCTCATGGACTAATACAAACCAGAACTCCTTGTTGGCCATGGCCAACCACAGTTCCTTCAAGATCAAGCCAGGGCCCTTCCATACAGCGCTATATCCCAGAATATCAAAGCAGAAAATCCCAGGGTTGGTGTAGGTTTTTTCGGGCTATATGGCCATGGTCTAGAGGCATTTTCTCCTGACGTTTCACCTGCATCTATGGCAAGCATCCTCAGAGGTAGTGAGGTCTGTTGGAACTAGGAAAAAGGGTTTATCTGTGGAATGACCAGCGTGGGACAAAGGACTCTTGTCTGCTGGAGCTAGGTGTGAATGTTTCAACTGACCACCTTGATTAGCATATAATGGCCTGACAGTGCCTAGAGCAAACTTTTGTTGAGAGGTGATGAGATGTCCTTGTTTGTTTCCTCTCTGTTGTTGTGCTGTTGTGATTTTAGAGTTTTGACAATACAAAAAATCCCACATTATCTGCTTTGAACTGGGTTATCCGAGTCCACACTCAGGTAATGTGGGAATTTCTGCCTTGATATTCTGGGATAAAGGGCTGTGTGGAAGGGCTTGCAGTCACTTCAAGGATGCCATCCATCCACCTTGCCCTTGGTCGGCCCCTCTTCCCTTTTCCTTCCATTTTCCCAGCATCATTGTCTTCTCTAAGCTTTCCTATCTTCTCATGATGTGGCCAAAGTACTTCATCTTTGCCTCTCATATCCTTCCCTCCACTGAGCAGTTGGGCTTTCTTTCCTGGAGGATGGACTGGTTGGATCTTCTCACAGTCCAAGGCACTCTCAGGGTTTTCCTCCAACACCACAGTTCAAAAGCAACTCTTTTCCTTCGCTCAGTCTTCCTTATGGTCCAGCTCTTGCATCCGTAGGTTACTATGGGGAATACCATTACTTTAACTATGCGAACCTTTGTTGCCAGTGTGATGCCTCTACTCTTCACTGTGGATGGTATCCTTTTTTTAAAAAATGATTTTATTAAGATTTTTCCAAATAAGAATACATAAAATACTACGGGAAAGCATTGGGTTGAGACTGGGGAGGAAAAAGGGAAGAAAAAAGAAAAAAAAGGGGGGGGGGGGAAGGAAGAGTAGAGAAGAGGGAGAAAGAAAAACAAGGGGGGGGGGGAGGGAATCTTTACTTCCCAATCTTCTTCTTTGCGTCATCATCTAAATCAGTTTATTTCATTTTTCTTTTATCGGCTTGCATTTTTAGTTGCTATGAGTCACTATCTTCTTCTCCTGTTTTATCTTCACTGGTAAATAATTGTTGACCAGTTTCTCATATATTCTTCATATAGTCTTCAAACTGTTTCCAATCAGTTCTCCTAACTGGTTTTCCCGTGTAATCTTTCAAATAAAAAGTCAATATGTCCATGTCCTTATTTCCCAGACTTTATTTAGACATTCTTCTACTGGAGATATTTCCTTCAATTTCCATTTTCTGGCGTAGACTATTCTAGCTGCTGTCATCAGATATGTGAAAAGAATGTCTTCATTTGTGTCTAACTTTATGTCCTCATCAGTAATTTCTAATAGAAAATATTCCGGCTTCATCTGTATATTAATGTTGATAATTTTTTGAATTACTTCTTGAATCGAAATCCACAAACTTCTAGCTCTAGGGCAGGTCCACCACAAATGGTAGAATGTTCCTGTCAGAAATCAGCCTGTGTTTGTGTTTCAGGATCCTGATGTGGGAAATGATGAGGGAAATGTTGAGATAAATGATGGTGCCGAGGCTGAGATGGTTTGGTCAATGATTTTCAGGCAGACAATGACAGAGAGGCCCCAGTGCAAAGGGCAGTTTCTCATGAGAATATTCCTGCTCAGCCTAGCAATGATGGTTCACTCCCTCTCTCTGTGAGCTCTCAAGATTTGGGTTTGCAAAACAATCTGACATCTGGGAATGTTAATGAGCAGCCAGACAGGGAGCTGAAGAATAGGCGGCTGGAGATTAGCCAGGATCAACAGCAACTCAGTGTTTACATCACTCTGAAGGGGGAAATGTGGGGGAAAGCGAAACCAATTTCTGAGTTTTAGGATATATAAGGTTTGCCTCAAGGGGAAACCTGTTAGATCAGGCATTGTTTGGAAATCAAGTTCATGTGCCATGGAAATCCTGTTCAAGAGGTCTTGTTCCTGTTGAGTTTTTTAGCCTATTGGATTGTCTTTCCATCCTGTTGATTCCTGTCTGGATAAATGCTGTCTTGGATTGCTTTTACATCTGGAGTGGACATTGCTTTGTGTTACTACCTTTTATGGACTTATTACTTTTTGGAACTTTCTTATTTTCTTAAAAGCATTTATTTCTTCTGGATATTTACTAAGCTTCAATAAAAGAAGATTTGTTTCTTCACTCTTCGTGTGGTGTGTTTTAAAGTCAGAGGGCTTTTTCCTGACCTGGAGTGCAACAGTTCCAACCTTGTCCTCACATTTCCAGCATTTGTTTGAGATACATTAATCCCAATTTCTGCAGTGCCATATACCACTGGTAGAACATCTTATGGCAATTTTCTTTAAGTTCCGTAGCATATGTGTATTTCATTTTTTTATTCCAGACCAGCTCCCATTCTTTGTATTTTATAGATCTACCTATGTTGGAGGCCCATTTAATCACGTTTTCCTTAACTATTTCCATTTCTGTAGCCCATTCTAATAGTTTAGTATATATGTTTGTAATATTTTTCAGATTATGAAGAGTTGGAAACTACTGAAGGAATAAATAAAAGGAACTTTAAGAGCTGGTTTTGAAATATGAGTACATTCACGCATCTAGCCAGGAAAAAACCCTTGCCCCCCATTTACTCTTAACATCCCTGGGGGAAAAAAAATACTTTTTTTAACTTTTGGAAAGAATAAAAACATAGAATCCTCACTACCTCTGAGGATGCTTGCCATAGATGCAGGCGAAACGTCAGGAGAAATGCCTCTAGAACATGGCCCTATAGCCCGAAAAAACCCTACAAGAATATAGAATCCAATTTCCTGATCCCTGTAGTCCAATAAGGTAAATGTATTCAAACATTCCAAGACGACGTTCGGTTAAGGGACCCATTCCCCTTTTCCCCAATACGCTGAGCGTATGTATACACATATGTGGGAAAGGCACCGAGAGGCCCCTACTCTTGCGGCTCTTTTTATTGTACGGAAAGGAAAAACACATGAGAAAGAGGGAGGAAAAGGCTCAGTCCCATTCGCCCCCGTCACCCTCGGGGTTCTCGTCCCGCGGCGGCTCCTGGAACTGGATGTTGGCCAGCATATCCCGCATGGCAGCCATCAGTCTGTTCACGCCTTGATTCAGGTTCTGTCCAGCAACGGGGCCTTCCTCCCCACCAGCCCCAACTTCTCCCTGAAATACAGTGTGCAATGTGTATATATATATGTATATATATACTTAAGTTGAGTTTTTTAACCCCTTTTTTTGGTTGCCCCCCCCCCCCCCCCCCCGGGGCTTATGTTCGAGTCAAAGTTTTACTCTGTTATTATTATTTTTATTATATTTATTATTTTACTCTTTATTATTATTATTATTACATTTACATTATTTTACTCTATTTATTATTGTTATTGTTACATTTATTATTTTACTCTTTTATTAAAATCCCACAATATCTGCTTTGAACTGGGTTATATGAGTCCACACTGCCATAGATCTTGGAGTCCTCGTGGACAACAAGTTAAACATGAGCCAACAATGTGATGTGGCGGCAAAAAAAGCCAATGGGATTTTGGCTTGCATCAACAGGAGCATAGTGTCTAGGTCCAGGGAAGTAATGCTACCCCTTTATTCTGCTTTGGTTAGACCACACCTGGAATATTGTGTCCAATTCTGGGCACCACAATTGAAGAGAGATATTGACAAGCTGGAATGTGTCCAGAGGGCGATTCAAATGATCAAGGGTCTGGGGAACAAGCCCTATGAGGAGCGGCTTAAGGAGCTGAGCATGTTTAGCCTGAAGAAGAGAAGGCTGAGAGGAGATATGATAGCCATGTATAAATATGTGAGAGGAAGCCACAGGGAGGAGGGAGCAAGCTTGTTTTCTGCTTCCCTGGAGACTAGGACGAACAATGGCTTCAAACTACAAGAAAGGAGATTCCATCTGAACATGAGGAAGAACTTCCTGACTGTGAGAGCCGTTCAGCAGTGGAACTCTCTGCCCCGGAGTGTGGTGGAGGCTCCTTCTTTGGAAGCTTTTAAACAGAGGCTGGATGGCCATCTGTCAGGGGTGATTTGCATGCAATATTCCTGCTTCTTGGCAGGGGTTGGACTGGATGGCCCATGAGGTCTCTTCCAACTCTTTGATTCTATGATTCTATATATCCTAGTGCAAAGCAGAAAATGTGGGATTTTATTCAGCTGTGTGGAAAGGGCCCTAATCTCAGGAAAGTAATATTGAAAGGGCTAGTATCTAAAAAAATAATAATGACATGGTTCTTTTTGTAATGTGTTGGTTGTGGACAGGACAAAAATGTCCGTTCAATTGATGAGCGCTGTTATTTGAGTTTTAAGTTGCTTTATATGACTGTATGTTTTGTTGAATTGTATTTTATATTGTGCTTTATTTCATGTTTTGTTTTTAGGCACTTGTGCTGTGCGTAAGCCACCCTGGGTCCCTTTGGGGAGATAGTGGTGGGATACAAGAATAAAGTTGTTGTTGTTGTTGTTGTTATTTTCCCACTTTTTCTCTAAAAAAAGAGAGAGTTGTATTAACTGCAACACTAAAAGTAAGTTTTTTTTACTTATCCAGGGATATATCCCAAGGGGAGAAGAGAAAGGAACATGGAGCCCCGATGTCTGAAATCTGCCCCAGTTGTAGACAGGGCTGTTCCCCTCATAGGACCTACCTGCAAGTTGTAGTTTGGCAACAGGGAGCGAAAGAAGAGCGATAAAGTGCTTTCGTTGGCAGGGTGAGACGGCCTAGAAAGGAGAACAGGAAGAAAGAAAGAAGGAAAGAAAGAAAGAAAGGGAAAAAAGGAAGGATATTGGGTCACAAAAGGATCTAGGATTGTATTGCCTGCCTTTTGTCACCATTTATCCCTGGTCCCCAGAAGAAGGGATTGGCCACAAGTGCTTGAGTCTTTGTAGGATGACATGTTGGCAACTGACAAAGATTAAACCCAGCAAGAGAAACCCTCAGAATGGATGGGAAAAGCAGAGAGTAGTGTCCTTACCGTTCTGGCCTTGTGTAGGAAACAATGGAGTCCAGAGGCGGCAGAGGATCGAAGCCCATGATGGGCTGAGAGGTCACTTCCTGGGAAGGCACAAAAATGCAAAGTTCAGGGTCAGTGGTCAGGTCTCTGTATTGTATAGCTGTAGTTCTGCACCTCAGGTCCCATATATGGAAGGAAGGATGGATTGAGACAGCCTTTGCCGCTGTGGAGACAACCCCCTTCTACTCTGGCTTTTCAACTCACCCAGCCATGCTTGGAGTGAAATAAAAGACAAATTTTTCCAAGTTACTCAGGGGTTCTATGCCACTCATTCCATTTTACCCAAGGGACCAGCAAGACCTGGCTAGGTTTGCTGGAATGGCAAGGACCGCAGTCCCATGACCACCAACGCAACTTGCTTCTCCTGCAGCCCTCACCGGAGGCAATGCGGCCGTCGCTTCCCGGATCTCCGAGAGGATCACATGGCGGAAGACGTTCCTGGGAGCGTTCTGGTACCTCACTTTTCGCCTGAGAAAGTAAAAGGGAGGCAGATAGTGACCACTCTGGAGAAAGGCTAGAATGTGCAGGGCAGGGATATTTCGCACCACCTTTTGAGCACAGGGTGTACCATTGGAAATAATATAGATAAAATTGAAAAGGTTACAATAACTAAGAGGATGGGGGAACCAGTTAAGAATTATTTAGAAAATGTGCTAAGATGTGGAGTAGAAAAATTAAGACTGAGACTGATATTTCAAGTGTAACTTCTGTAGTTTGATGTATAAATTGCATGTACAAGGAGGGGAGGGGTGAGAGTGGGGGGAAAACCAATAAAACAATTTTAAAAAAGGTAATAGGAAAATTACCATATTGAAATCAAATCTGATTTTTTAAAATATATATATATATCTGTTGTGTTGGAAGAGGGGTAGTCTTATACAGCAAATATATCCCAAACTCTATATAAGGAAATATAAGGAAATGTCTTGCCCACAACTGCAGTCCCTATTCTGGGACTACTAAAAGAACTGGAAAAGTTGCGGGTCATCTTATAGTCGTCTTATATGCCGGAAAATACAGTACATTAATAACCTTATTAAACAAGGTTTCAACAACACAAAGTCCTTCTTTGCTTCCATGCTGGACTTCTTCCTCATGCAGATAAACAGCTTTGCTCTCACAGAGCCTCCTCTCACAACGGACTTATAATGGAAATTCACACGGTAGCTTTTTACACACGGTAGCTTTTTACACACAGCAGCCTTTATACACTGGAGCTTCACACATGAGGCTTTACAACCTGGGGCACTCTCACCGAAGCTTCTCACAGACTAAGGTTGTTATTATTATCCTGCTTTCCTCTCTTAGAGGAGAGAGACTCAAAGCAGCTAACAATGCTAACAATATAAGGTACGGTTTGAAACCGACAGCATAATAAACACTGAGAATTAAACACAAAGCTAGGAGACCTGGGTTCAAATGTCTCTTTGGCCAATGAAAGCCTAGCAGAGGGTCTCCATCCATGAGAGTCAACTTGAAGTATTATTTTCTAAGGACTTCCAATAAAACCAGGAATGATTGTAGGTTCGATATCCTGCTATATGTATATACCAGGAATGGGCCAGCTTCAGCCCTCCAGGTGTTTTGGATTTCAACTCCCACAATTCCTAACAGCCTACTGGCTGTTAGGAATTGTGAGAGTTGAAGTTCAAAACACCTGGAGGGAGGACTGAAGTTGGCCTGTGCTTGCATAGGTGGTCTTGGTCACTCACTTCTGCTCCGCCTCGTCCAGCGCCGGGTCCTTGGAGTCCACCCTCCTCAGCACCTCGTGGACATTGGTCTCCAACCAGGACATGACGGAAGGGTCTTTCCAGAGGGAATGAGTTCTCCCCAGGTAGAGGGAGACCAGTTGGTTCAGCGCAGGAGGAGAGCTGCGGAGGGAAAGCCAAGATTTGCACCTGGCAGCTTAGAGTTCTAGCCCAGTTAACACTTCTGGCCCAGTTTACTTGTCCAAACGTATCTCCCGCTACGATCCAGCTAGGGCCCTAAGATCATCTGAGATGACCCTGCTCATTGTTCCCCCATTGTCACAATCGCGTCTGGCGGGGACAAGGGCCTTTTCTGTGGTGGCCCCTCGGCTGTAGAACTCCCTCCCGAGTGAAATTATATCTGCTGCATCCCTCTTGACCTTCTGGAAACAAGTAAAATCCTGGCTATGGGATCAGGCCTTTGGAGATTAGGCTGACCTACTGACATGTTGACTTATTTAGAACTGATGGACTGCCCTTGGATAATGATTGAAATTGGTGACCACAGACTATTTGTTGTCTGTTTTTATATGGTTTATACGGTTTTATACTCTTTATACTGTTTTATATTGTTATTATTACATTGCTGTTAATTGTATATTTATGTTTTGATGGATGCCATGGGGAGCCACTTTGTTAGCCATCCTGAGTCCCTCTGCGGAGGTTGAGAAAGGACGGGTTATAAAAGCCCTAAATAAATACATAATAATAAATAATAGAGGCAAGTGAGAGCTGCATTTGTTGAGTCTTCCATTTTAGGGAAGAGAGGACTAAAGCAATGGGACAACCAAGGAGCCTAATGAGACACGTCTCTTTGAGTGCTTGACCTGTGCATTTCCATTTGGGGCTTGCGCAGGTGAGAAGAGGCATGGAGGCCACTTGCATTCCCATTTGGAAATACAGACATGGAATAACACAAACATATAGGAAAATCAGTGAGGCAAATTGAAATTTTCACTCCTAGTCAAGATGTACCACCTCCTGAAGTACTTCAGAGATTATATATCTATAAATTATAGGAACCAAGCCCACTCAAGTTAGTAAAAGCAATGGTTGTTGTTGTTGTTGTTGTTATGATCTTTATTTCTACACCACCTTTCTCCCCATGAGGACTCAAGGCAGCTTACAATAACATGCAAGCAAAGCCAGACCTTTTCTCAACGCCAGATCTTTTCTCAACGAAAACTCTCCAGTAGTTTTTTAGTTATGTTAATCCCACAAACGAACATTACATTTTTATTTATATAGACTAGCTGTACCTGCCATGTGTTGCTGTGGCCAACCTTCCCTCCCTCTTTCTCTCCTTCTTTCTTTCTCTTCTTCCTTCCCCCCTTTTTCTTTCCCTTCTTTCTTTCTTTCTTTCTTTCTTTCTTTCTTTCTTTCTTTCTTTCTTTCTTTCTTTCCTTCCTTTCTTCCTTCTCTCTTTCTTTCTTTCCTTCCTTCCTTCCTTCCTTCCTTCCTTCCTTCCTTCCTTCCTTCCCTCCCTCCCTCCCTCCCTCCCTCCCTCCCTCCCTCTCCTTCTTTCCTTCTCTCCTTCCTACTCTACCTCTTTCCTGCATACTCCCCTTTTTCTTTCCCTCCCTCATTCTTCTTCACTTCACTTTATTTCTTAATTAGTCACTCGCCACCAAGGTGCTCCGAGCGACTTACAATTTAAAATAGCATTTCACAATATAAGAACATTGTTTAAAGGGTTGATTTCCTTCCTTCTCTACCTCTTTCTTTCTTTCCTTCCTTCTCTGCTTTTTTTTCTTCATTCCCTCTTTCCTTCCCTCCTTATCTCTTTCCTTCCCTCCCCCTTTCCCTCCTTCATTCCTCCCCTCTAGACATGGGCTGGAAAAGAGTTGAGCTCGAAGGCAGCACGTGAGAAAAGTGCATTCCTGATATCTGCAGAGCAAGGGCTCCATGGTTAGTAATCTGCATCTGTATTGTCATTTTTGGGGTTTTTAAGTCCTTTCTGCTCTTTTCGGGGGGGTTTATGAGTGATGGTCACTCATTGGTCTGTTAAGGGTGTAGTGTCCAAATTTGGTGTCAATTCATCCAGTGGTTTTTGAGTTATATGTTAATCCCACAAGTATAATTATAATATTGTATTATTATTAGTAGTATTATATTTTATAATATTATAAATATTATATATAATGGTGTAGTACAATATAGTAATAAATAATACTGATATTGTACTATGCTGATAATTTAATATGTTGTATGTATATATATCTTGTAAGCCGCTCTGAGTCCCCGTCGGGGTGAGAAGGGCGGCATATAAATGTCGTAAATAAATAAATGAATGAAAAGGATTGCAAAACCATTGCCATATTATTCGTATGACTCCCTAGGTCCCCAATTTAACACAGGGCTCTTTCACCCCAAAGGGTTCTTCCTGCCCCACACTCCTGACCTTAACTGGGCATCCAGTCCGAAGAATGGGTGGGAGGCCACCATGGCATCCGGTTGAACGCTGCAGCGATCCAGCAAAGGCGTTAGAACTGGGAAAGGAAGGGGAAAAGCATCAGGTCTGGATTTCGAGATTGGAGGCACTGCGAACTCAAGGCAGTGGTGTAGTCCAGACATCAGCATCTCTTCTAAACATTCAAGTAACATTACCATTCTTTATAATTTTATCAAAAGTTACTTTTTATAAGTAACTTCGCAGTCTTTTGTTTTTTGGATCACGACTCCCAGTAGCTCTCAGTATACAAGAAAGACCTTTAGTAATTTTTCCAGGGAACTCATTTGATTTCAGAGTAATCCTCCTTGGGAAGATGTGTCAGTTCACTCAGGAACCTGGCTTTTGGCTGCAGGAGGGCTGCTTAAATGTCTTAAGCCTGACCCAGAGAAAAACACCTGTACAGTTTTGAACTTTTCATGATGCCGCACTCACCGCTCGGGAACATGATCAGAGCCTGTTGGATGAGGCTGGCTGCACTTTCCTGGGCCTGGCTCAGCTCCACATCAGGGAGATCCTCCTGCTGACTCAGAAGGAAATGCGCCAGAGGCACGGAAAAGGCAAAATTGGGGAGCTGGGAGAGGTTGCGATGGCCCTGAGAGGAGAGATGGGCGAAAAGAGTAGAAAAGAGGAGAAAAAACGCTCCTTACTTTTCAAGAAGGCTGCCAACAAGGTAGAATGTGTCCGGAGAAGGGCAACCCAAATGGTTAAGGGTCGGGAAACTATGGATCCCTCTGAGGAGCTGAAGATGTTTAGTTTGGAGAAGAGAAGGCTGCTTAAATACTAGAAAGGAGGTCCCATTGAGGAGGGGGAGGTTGTTTTGTGCTACTCCTGAGACTGGACCAACTTGAAGCCATGGATTCGAATTGCAGGAAAAGAGATTCCACTTTATTTTTTGGTCTCTGTTGTTTGACAGTGGAATATATCGCTTTGGAGTTTGTTGAAGTCTCCTTCTGTGGAGAAATTTAAGCAGAGGCTGAATGGCCATCTGGCAAGAGGGCTTGGGTGTTGTCTTGCTTCATGGCAAAAGGGGATTGGCCTTTGGAGTCCCTTCCAACTCTAGCATTCTATCTATCTGACTGTTTCTCCATTCATTCATCCATCCACCCATCCAGCCAGCCATCCATGTCTTAGGGGGTTGGACTGGATGGCCTTTGGGATCTCTTCCAACTCTAGGATTCATTTTATTTATCTATCTATCTGTCTGTCTGTCTGTCCATCCATATTTTAGGAGGTTGGACTGGATGTTCCTTGGGGTCTTTTCCAACTCTAGGATTCTATCTATCTATCTATCTATCTATCTATCTATCTATCTATCTATCTATCTATCTATCATCTATCTATCTATCTATCTATCTATCTATCTATCTATCCATCCATCCATCCACCTATCTATCTATCTATCTTTCCACTTGTCTGTCTCTTCCAACTCTAGGATTCTATCTATCTCTTTATCTGTCTGTTCGTCCATCCAGCCATCTCTCAGGGGGTTGGAGTAGATGACCTTTCGGATCTCTTCCAACTCTAGGATTGTATCTATCTGTCTGTCCATCCGTCCATCCATCCATCTCTTAGGGGGTTGGACTGGATGGTCCTTGGGGTCTCTTGCAACTCTACGATTCTATATATCTGTCTGTCTCTTCCAACTCTAGGATTCTGTCTGTCTGTCTGTCCATCTATCTATCTCTTTGTCTGTCTGTCCGTACATCCAGCCATTTTTTAAGGGGGTTAGACTAGGTGGCCTTTCGGATCTCTTCCAACTCTAGGATTGTGTTTATCTATCTATCTATCTATCTGTCCATCCATCCATCCATCCATCCAGCCATCTCTCTGGGGGCTGGACTGGATGGTCCTTGGGGTCTCTTGCAACTCTAGGATTCTATCTATCTGTCTCTTCCAACTCTAGGATTCTGTCTGTCTATCTGTCTATCTCTCTCTCTCTCTTTGTCTGTCTGTACATCCAGCCATCTCTTAGAGGGTTGGACGAGATGGTCTTTCGGGTCTCTTCCAACTCTAGGATTCTATCTATCTGTCCATCCATCCATCTCTCAGGGGGCTGGACTGGATGGTCCTTGGGGTCTCTTGCAACTCTAGGATTCTGTCTGTCTGTCTGTCTGTCTATCTCTTTATCTGTCTCTCCGTACATCCAGCCATCTCTTAGGGGATTGGACTGGATGGCCTTTGGGGTCTCTTTCAACTCTAGGATTATATCTACCTGTCTGTCTGTCCGTCCGTCCATCAATCCATCCATCTCTTAGGGGCTTGAACTGGATGGCTTTTGGGGTCTCTTCCAACTCTAGGATTATATCTATCTGTCTGTCCGTCCGTCTGTCCGTCCATCAATCCATCTATCTATTAGGGGCTTGAACTGGATGGCCTTTGGGGTCTCTTCCAACTCTAGGATTATATCTATCTGTCTGTCCGTCCGTCCATCCATCAATCCATCCATCTCTTAGGGGCTTGAACTGGATGGCCTTTGGGGTCTTTCAACTCTAGGATTCTCTCTCCCTCCCTTTCTCTCTCTCTAGATATCTATCCATCCATCCATCTCTTGGGGGTTGGACTGGATGTTCCTTAGGGTCTCTATTCCCTCTGATCCCATAATAAAATAAAGGGAGAAAATTGCTCTAAGCAAATGTCCTGGAGTGTGTGCATTTTTTAAACAGAAAGGCATATGCAAACGCGCCCCTCAGAGGTTTCAAGCACAATTCTGCTCTTGTCCGAACCAGAAATGTTCACTTCGGGGCAAAAGGAGGGGCCTTAATGAATCACAGAAGCAGCCCTTGTTTTGAGTAGGATTCACACCCCACTTTTTGCTCCTTTCAGGGAGGGGGAAGGAGGAGGGAGCTGGGTCGGACCCTCTGGAAGTGCAGCCCTCGCCCACCCAGGCTTGGCATCAGCAGGACCACTGCCCCAAGAGACCTTTAACCCTCCACCTGCCTCCTTACCTCCCATTCACAGAACAGGCGGGTCAGAAAGGCGTACTCTCTCGCTCGGAGGGACAGCAGATCGATGACCAGCAGCATACACAGGGGGTCGTTCTCTGGATCAAGACTTTAGGAAGGGGAGAGAAATGGAAAGGAACAAGTCCAATTACAAAACCAACGTGTTAAAGGAAGCACATGGCACCTTTTGAGTTGCCTCAAGACCAGCCAGCAGCAGATGCACATTCCTCTGCGCCGACTCAATCCGAAGATCATAGGCAGAGAAACAGATCACCCCGTGCAATAAAACAAAACTAAGACACCATTTCACCTTACTGTGGAAGACACATCTCCCTGGCCATGGAGACAGGGGACAGCTAGGTGCCCCTGCCCTGCATTTGCCCTCAAAAGAGAGGCCAATATCCTCAGAATTGGCTGTTTTACCTCAGGATAAGTTTGCAGAACTCCAGGGCAGTGCGAGGGCAGCCTCTCCTCTCAAGGAAAACCATGTGCTTGAAGAGGGCCAGGTAGAAAGCTCTGGAAGAAAAGGAAAATGCTTGACACAAAGAGAAATGGAGGCCTGCCATAGATGTGGGTGAAACGTCAGGAACATGGCCATACAGCCTGGAAAACTCACAGCAACCCAACTAACATTAAGATGTCCAGTACAAATCCAGATCTCTTCTCCATTAGGAATGGCTGAGAGATTCTTGGAGTCAGCATTCCAAAAAGCAACCATACCAAACTCTTTATTAAACACAAACACTGTTGTTGGTTGGGGGATTGTGGGGTCTGTAGTCCAAAACATGGACATGGATTGGGGCCGCAGGTAGCACAATGGGTTAGACCTTGTGCTGCTGAACTGCTGACCTGAAGGTTGGCATTTTGGATCCGTTGGACAGGGTGAGCTCCCACTGTTAGGCCTAGCTCCTGCCAACCTAGAAGTTCAAAAGCATGCAAATGTGAATAGATCAATAGGTACTGCTTCAGTGGGAAAAGGCTAAAGGTGCTCCGGTCATGCTGGCCATCCAACCAGGAGGTGCCTACAGACAACGCAGGCTCCTCGGCTTCTCCCAGAGCTGAGCACCGCCTCCAGAGCCAAAAATGAAAGAGGAAGCCTTGGCCCTTGTCTGTGTATTTGTGTCTCATTGTATTTCATTGCAACAAGGCACTGAATGTTTGCCTGTGTCTGTTTATATGCTGTAACCGGTTCTGAATCCCCACGGGGAGAAGGGCGGAATATAAATAAAGTGTTATTATTATTTCTACATTCAGCTCAGCCAGGTATTCCACTGCCCACCTTCCTTTGACGAGCGGTGGTGGGTTAATACCTGTTCTCTGGTCTCCGATAGTCCAGGCGGCAGGTCCCACTGGTGAGGCTGAAGACCGGGTGGAAGGCGCACTCCAAGGTGTAGAGGGCCCTCTCTGGAAAAAGAAGGGGACAGAAGAAAGCCATGCTGAGCCTTGGCTCCATTTAGCATCTTTATACATAATACTTTCTGCCTAAACGAACCCGAGGCCACACATTCTCTTTACACAACACATAATGCACATCCCAAGGCAAGATGAGAAAACAATCAACAGCCCAAATCAAATGATGGATACCCAATGAGGCTATTAAGACTGCCTAGATTTGGGTTTGGCCTGGCCAGTGGAGAAGGGAGGCCTTTCTTTCTCTTCCAGAGCCCCAGAGGCAAAAGGCAACCGCACTTCTGCTGAAACATGACTCATTGCTTAAGACATTTCTTTCCATCGGCAACACAGCCCCATTTGTATCAGGTGGAGATCATGCGGACCTCTGGCTGTATTGGAAAATCCATAACCTATTGGAAATAACTGCACCATAACCTTATCAAAAAGGTAAAAATGATGTTACATAAACCCACTTTCTTAGTTTCCGACAGACTTCACAACTTGAGGATGCCTGTGATAGATACAGGCAAAACATCAGGAGAGAATGCTTCTGGAACATGGTCATACAGCCTGGAAAACTCACAACAGCCCAGTGATTCCCATGAAACCACAAGCAGAATTAGGAGCCCATGAAAACCACAAGCAGAATTAGGAAGCCTCTTTGACTCCCAAATCCTTCAGGGATCCATGATGTAAGGAGCCATATTTTCTTGGGTGGGGGAGTTTCAGCACAAGTGGGTCTCCTTCTTACCAATGGGGTGCAGTGTAGGCGAGACAAGGATAGTTGATGCATAGTTGACATCAGATCAGCTCCCTCGTTAATGGTGTTTCGAAGGAAACTAAAAACCTGGCTATTTGAACAGGCGTTCGGATAAACAGTGCAATGAATATGATGAATATAGGAAAACGGAATTATGGATGACGAACTGGATCACGATTCTAGTTACGAGACGTTAATGTGTTGTTTATTGATATGTCATTACTCTGTATATTATGCTGTTAACCGTTTTTAAAATTGTATGTTGTTCGGATTGAATTTTTGCTCTAGTTGTGATCCGCGATGAGTCGCCTACGGGCTGAGAAACTGCGGTATACAAGCAAAGCAAAGTAAATAAATAAATATATCTATGGCTACCTGTATATTTGTATTTTATTTGTATATTTGTATTTTATTTTAAGAGGACTAGATGTATGTTGTGTCTGCATTGTTTGTTTTTGATAGGGCCAATTGGCTAATCAATAAAATTGTTGTTGTTGTTGTTCTTACCAATGAGGTCCCTGGCCATCTCTTGGTCTTCCTGCATCCGGCACACGTCGCTGAGCTGCAGAAGGGAGTCCACGTGCGAAGGGTTCATCTGGAGCAAAAGCTGTCGGCAAAGAAAACAAAGCTGGTGAATGGATCAGGAGACTACATGGAGAGACCTTGGTGAGTTTGAGGAGGGGAGAGAGGCTGGAGAGAGCAAGAGGCAATGGTGAGAGGGCGCTTGGACAACTGTGGGAAACTAAGGAGCTACACTAATGCCCCAGGAACAGGATTATAGAGGTGGAAGAGACCCCAAGAGTTAGCCAATCAAATACCATTAGTTAGATAGACAGACAGATAATAGAGTTGGAAGAGACCCCAAAAGCCACCCAGTCTAACCCCCTTCTGTCTTTTGGGAAGACACCATCCAAACCCTTCTGAGAGATATCCTCTGTTTAAAAACCTGTGTAGGGGTTCAGCCTGTGGTTGTCTCTGTGCCACAGGATCATGATCATGATTTTGAATGTGTCCACTTGAGGTTGGGTGACCGGGACAGAATAGGGATTCTGTTAGTGTACCGTCCACCTCGCTGCACTACAGTCTCCTTACCTGAGCTAGCGGGGGTGGTCTCAGGCCTGGCATTGGAATCCCAGCGGCTCCTTGTGCTGGGGGACTTCAATGTCCATGCCGAGGCGGCCCTTTCAGGAGCGGCTCAGGACTTCATGTCTGCCATGGCAACCATGGGGCTGTCCCAGCAAGTATCTGGCCCCACTCATAGTGCAGGACATACATTGGACTTGGTTTTCTGCCAGGGATGGGAGGAAGGTGGTGGGGTCGAGGAGCTGACCATCTCTCCGTTGCCATGGACCGACCACTTCCTGGTCAGATTTAGGCTCACTGCGCCCCCTAACCTCTGCAGAGGTGGAGGACCCATTAAGTTGGTCCGCCCCAGGAGGCTTATGGATCCGGATGGATTCCTGATGGCTCTTGGGGAGTTTCCCGCCGCCTCGGTAGGTGATCCTGTCGAGGCCCTGGTCACTCTCTGGAATGGGGAGATGACTAGGGCAATTGACACGATCGCTCCGGAACGTCCCCTCTCAAGTAGCCGAGCTAAACCAGCTCCCTGGTTCACCGAGGAGCTGGCAGCGATGAAGCGAAGGAAGAGGGAACTAGAGAGTGTGTGGCGTTCAGATCCGAGTGAGCCAAATCGAACACGGTTTGTGTCCTTTTTAAGGGCATATGCCGCGGCAATAAAAGCCGCAAAGAAGGCCTTCTTTGCGGCCACTATTGCGTCTGCAAAGAACCGTCCGGCTGAGCTGTTCCGAATTGTCAGAGGCCTTTTAAATCCCACCACTCAAGGTGGGAACCCTGACGATTCGACTTCTCGCTGTGAAGCTTTTGCTCAGTTCTTTGCAGACAAAGTCGCTTTGATCCGTTCTGGTCTGGATACCATGTTAATGGCAGTCTCTGAGGATGTAACACGAGCACCTGCTTGTCCAGTTTTGATGGATTCATTTCAATTGGTGAAACCCGAGGATGTGGACAAGATGCTTGGAGGAATGAGGCCAACCACATGCATCCTGGACCCCTGCCCATCCTGGCTTCTAAAGGAGGCCAGAGGGGGATTGGCTGAGTGGGTTAAGGTGGTGGTTAATGCTTCCCTTCGGGAAGGCAAGATTCCAGCGAGCTTAAATCAAGCTATAATAAAACCGCTGTTGAAGAAACCATCACTGGACCCCACTAAATTCGACAACTATCGGCCAGTTTCCAATCTCCCCTTCTTGGGCAAAGTCTTGGAACGTGTGGTGGCCTCACAACTCCAGGTATTCTTGGTAGACACGGATTATCTAGACCCGGCACAGTCTGGCTTTAGGCCGGGACATGGTACCGAGACAGCCTTGGTCGCCTTAGTGGATGATCTGCGCCGGGAGCTCGACAGGGGAGTGTGTCCCTGTTGGTGCTGCTGGACCTCTCAGCGGCCTTCGATACTGTCGACCACGGTATCCTTCTGGGACGCCTCGCAGGGATGGGTCTTGGAGGTACTGTTTTGCAGTGGCTCCGGTCATTCCTGGAGGGTCGATCTCAGAAGGTGTTGTTGGGGACACCTGTTCAACCCCACAACCATTGTCTTGTGGGGTTCCTCAGGGCTCAATACTGTCTCCCATGTTGTTTAACATATACATGAAGCCGCTGGGGGAGATCATCCGGAGTTTCGGGGTACGGTGTCATCTGTACGCGGATGATGTCCAACTCTGTCACTCCTTTCCACCTGCTACTAAGGAGGCTGTCCAGGTCCTGAACCGGTGCTTGGCCGCTGTGACGGTCTGGATGAGGGCGAACAAATTGAAATTGAATCCAGACAAGACAGAGGTACTCCTGGTCAGTCGCAAGGCCAAACAGGGCATAGGGTTACAGCCTGTGTTGGATGGGGCCGCACTCCCCCTGAAGATGCAGGTTCGCAGCTTGGGTGTGACCCTGGACTCATCGCTGAGCCTGGAACCCCAGGTTTCGGCGGTGACCAGGGGAGCATTTGCACAGCTAAAGCTTGTGCGCCAGCTGCGCCCGTACCTTGGGAAGTCTGACTTGGCCACGGTAGTCCACGCTCTGGTTACATCCCGTTTAGACTACTGCAACGCTCTCTACGTGGGGTTGCTTTGAAGACAGCTCGGAAGCTCCAACTAGTCCAACGCTCGGCAGCCATGATTTTAACAGGAGCGGAGCGCAGGGAGCATACAACCCCCCTGTTGCGCCAACTCCACTGGCTACCGATCTGCTACCGGGCTGAATTCAAAGTGCTGGCGTTGGCCTTTAAAGCCCTAAACGGTTCCAGCCCAAGCTACCTATCTGACCGCATCTCTGCCTATGAACCCACCAGGAGTTTGAGATCTTCCGGGGAGACCCTGCTCTCGATCCCGCCTGCTTCTCAAGCTCGGCTGGCGGGGACGAGAGATAGGGCCTTCTCGGTGGTGGCTCCTCGGCTGTGGAACGCCCTTCCTACGGACATTAGACTAGCACCATCTCTAATGGTATTCCGCAAAAAGGTGAAGACCTGGATGTTTGTGCAGGCGTTTGAGTAATTTAGTACAATCTGGTAATGGAACATAGGAATGGAACAATGGACGACGAACCTGGACTACGCTTGGATGATGAGAAGATTGCGTACAGTTGTTTTTTGTAATAATTGTGCATTGTAATTGCTTATTGGTAATTTATGGATAATGTGTTAAGTCAATTGTTATATGTTGTATGGAACCACTGCTGTTTCTACTGTTTTTACTGTTTGTGAACCACTGTGAGTCGCCTTCGGGCTTGAGATACAGCGGTATATAAGCAAAGTAAATAAATAAATAAAGTAAATAATAAATGATCAGGACCCTGATCATGATCAGGACCCTTCAGAGGTTCCCATGTTTGACTTTAATGATCAGGTTTCTGTTGATTCTCAGGGGTTTGTGAATGCAGATGATGGCCAAGAAAATACTGTTAGCCAGAGTGAAACTGAGGATTCTGGGATCATTGGTTCACAAGGCAAAGATGTCTTGAGACAGACTGATGTGAAACAGGCTGAGGCCAAACAGTCAAGGTTAGATAGAGAGAGAGAAAGGAATGTGCTAATGAGCAAACCGGAAGAGGTTGTAGAGGGCAAATCTATCATGATTGCCACCTGGACTTAGGGAGAAGGCGTTCAGCAAGCTTAAGAGAAAGAAGGGGTTTGAGAGAGGTTTCCCAAGGGAATCGGAATGCTTTTGATATGGCGTTTGAATAAATATAGGGCCTGTGTATGCATGCTCTTCATTGAGTCCAATGTTCAGTTTCCATGCCTGCTCCATGCCTTTGTTTCATGCTAAGACTCATGTAATATCTTGCTCCAGATTCATGCTCATGCTGAGATTCTTGTAAACCTTACATCCTGATTTCAAGCTACTGCATTTGGTGTTGTTCAAGTGTGCTCCTGACTTTTCAAGGGAATTTGTTCTTACAACCTTTTGGATTTAAGGCCTATTTCCTGTGGACTTGATTAATTGGACTTCAGAACGATCCTGTTCTCCTTATGTGGACTTTGCTGTTTAAGTTTACTTTGATTATGGGTTATTTTTTGGACATTCTCCTATTTCCTTTTTGATTGCCTTTTACCTTTTGACATCTACTGTATTAATCTTCAATAAACTGTTGGCTTATTAAAGAGCATTGGTGTGTTTGTGGGTTCAAAGGTGCTAATCACAGCCTTGGTGTGCAACAACCTCCAGAGAAGAAGATGCCACCAGATTCCAAGCTTTAGAGTTGGGTCATCTAAATCCAATACCAATTCTGCCATAGATGAATGAGCAACTGAAGCACTCCTGGAAGATGCTCAGACAGTCTTATTTAAAAAATCTCCAGAGAAGGAGACTCCATCCAACTGCTAAGATGGTTTATTCCTCCACCAAACTCTTACCACCAGGAATTCTTCCTAATGTTAAGGTGGAATCTCTTTTCCTGCTGGTTGTAGGTTTTTTCAGGCTATATGGCCATGTTCTAGAGGCATTCTCTCCTGACGTTTCGCCTGCATCTATGCCAAGCATCCTCAGAGGTAGTGAGGTCTGTTGGAACTAGGAAAATGGGTTTATATATCTGTGGAAAGACCAGGATGGGGCAAAGGACTCTTGTCTGCTGGAGCTAGGTGTGAATGTTTCAACTGACCACCTTGATTAGTATTTGATAGCCTGCTTTTCCTGCTATTTGAATCCGTGGCTCTGCCGTGTCCTAGTCTCCAAAAGCACCAGGAAACAAGCTTGATCCCTTCTCAATACGACCTTCTTTTAAATATTTAAACATAGCTCTCATGCCCCCTCTGAACCTTCTCTTCTCCAAGCTAAACATCCCCAGCTTCCTCGGCCACTTCTCATAGGGATTCATGGTTTCCAGACCTTTGACCTCTCACTTTCTTTATTATGGTTACAGACCAGCATAAGGGAAGTGGAGCACAGTCTGATAAAAGCACAATACATTAAAATCTATGCTGAAATCTAAAATGTAAAGCCAAAACATGATGCTATTTCAACTGAAGAGAAAAAAAGAGATTCTGGAGGGAGGGTAGTGCCAGAAATATTAAAAATTAATTAGGTATTATTAATTACAAAAATG